TTTATGGTGTTTGTAAAATCTGAAAAGATCAGCTCTACTAAATTTGTAATTAGTGCTTAAGGTAATTTAATCAAATTATTATTTAACAGTTAGGTTTTAAAGTTTTACTATTGTTGCTGGTTTTGGGATGCTAGAGTCTCTCTCTAGATGTGGTTTCTAAGTTCTTTCCTAAACAAAGAATTGGTCAAGACAAGCACAAAATATAGTGAGGTTTTACATTAAAGCTATGAAGAGAAACATTTCTGCAAGTACTTAAAGTACATTCTACAGATGAGAACAAACTACTGTGAAAGAGAAAGCACAGTGGTTAGGAGTTCAGTGATGGCCATCTTTTATATCTTCTGCTCCTTAGGTTGATGTCAGGTCTAGGCCATCCTATCAAAACCAGCTTGGGTTCTCAAAAGAACCCAACTGTTCCGTGTAGAAGGCTTTGGAAACTGTTCTGTGTATGTGCCCTGCAACTTTATAATTGGTAGATCTCACATCCACTTTCCAGCCAGTTTGCTAAACCCTAATCTCCTGTTTCAATGTGAGTTTAAGATGTTGAACACTAAACTTGATCTAATAGCATTAAGTATTTCTCTCAAACCCAAATCCCCCCTGGACCAGTGGATGGCAAACTTTTAAGAGCTTTCAATGATGACAAAGACCCTGTTGTAGTACATGTCATAGGTTTACCATGAATGTTCCAGTTTTTAAGCAATCTAATAAAACTGCAAAAATAAATAGATCTAGTACTTTAAATGTTTATATAACCATTACAAACTATTTTAAGAGGTAAATGGGCAATTCTTTAAACTTCATTTTTTAAAATCATTTTGGGAATCTCAGTGTTGACCCAAGACATGACTATTTGAAACCTTTGTGAAAATGAAGTTAAGCAAACAGATTGACCTATCTACTAACAAAACAAAGAGGTGCCCTAAAATAGTTGGCCAAATTCAGCACCCAATAGAATAAATAGAACCAACAGGGTTAAACTTGGGAGTTAAATCAGATTTGTCATTTAAATATTTAAGTTTCTAAATTTTCACTTTGGGAAAACTCCTTCAGCTACACTTTGAGGATAAGTTGAAGGTGTTTGAAAGCCTAAGACATGCAATGACAGGCAATGGAGCTGGAGTCAGTGGCGATGCTGTGCACGCTGGCTACTCCACCTTAAAGCTACTGTGTACTATCACACCATCAACTATCACGGTAATGCTTCCCTGCTCCCCTTAACAGGTAAGGATGTTCAAATGACAATATGTAAAAGCACAAAGGATTACGTTTGAAGTTTTCTGAAGTGAAAGTTCTTACAATAAGAAATTGTCTTGAATTCATCTTGTAAAAGAAATTGCACACAAACTGTATATTGAGATGATAATCATGTTTCCTTAACAAAACACCAGTAGTCACCAGAATTAAGCTCTTTAGTCATCACTTTTGGCTCTAAGAGTGTCAGAAGTTTTCACAGTACGCAGTATTTCTAGTAGGTGGCATCTCTGAGCTAAGACACACTCAGATCACGCTGAGCCTCGGCACCTTGGAGGCCTGGAAAAGTGGCAGTCATAGTGAAATCACCCCAGGGACAGAGGGCAAACACAAGTGAAAAAAGAGCTTTATATCACAGCTTGTCTTTAGGCTCAGGCTTTGATTTTAGGATATCCAGACAGGACCACAGAAAACCTCATTTTAAAAAAATACTGTGACTAATAGGAAAGCAGACCAGCACAAAGAACACTTACTTAGCATGAATGTTCAGCAGGTTTTGAATGCTGTGAAACCCATAGAGGGATGCAAAAATCTTCTCTGTACATCTTACTTACCTCTAAAAAGCCAAGACTTTTTGACTCATTCATTTATCATCTTCCTTGCTCTTTACTCTGTCCTGGGCCCTCTGCTGGCTATAGATGACGAAGAGACGAATCATACAGTCCTTACCTTCAATAATTCAAAATGTGATAGAAAAAGCATCTGTTTATAGATAAATCATTGTGATTCAAGGTAAAAAGCACGAGAAGTCAGACAGATGTGGCCCTCAAGAAGATTGAGCCCAACAGAGATCCAAGAGGGCACAGCACTAATAATGGTACACAGCAGACTATGAAAAGAATAAAGGCTCTGGCAGCACAGATATAGATGACACAATGTCTGTGAATAATGCAATGGGGAAAACTTACAGCCTACTGGGGAAGAGTAAGCAGCTGAATCTGGCCAAAGCAGGGGTATCAGATCTACTGCCTCAGGCTGACCTCAAGAGTGAAGAATCTCTTACCTATGCCACACCTGCTGGAGGCTCCTTCTCTGATGCCCTCTTCCCACAGTGGAAGGCCGTATGTGCTGAATGGGGTCCATTGTAAGAGTCCAAAAGAGAGGGCAGGAGACTTTTGAGGACAAAGGACAACTCATACCTAAAGATAAAAGCCTCCTTTTTGTTTTTCTCTTATTCTTCACAGCTATTACCACCTTCTCTAACTTTTCCACACTATCAACCTGAGGGTGGTGAAAATGGACTTGGTGAGTGTCTCATCAGCATGAGATTGGTCCCAAGGCCATGCAGGCTTTGGGGGCTGGCAGAGTTGGAGTGTCTACACCTCGTTAGTCACTTGGAATATGGATGCATTAAGTTAGCTTGAAGGTACAGGGTTGGTACGGACCTCATCTGCAAACCTATGAGGTCTTCTCCCTTCTTATGGGTTTTAGGGAACAGCTCTAAGCTACTGTCATTTCTACTTCACAGCAGCTACCACCCACCGTCTCTCTAGCGTTGGCCTCATATCTGTGCCAAGTTCTCTCTTTGCCTAAAGGTTCCAGGACTCAAAGGTGCTATATTTTCATCACAGCCACCATTACCCATCTTCTTCTTGTCTCTAGTCCAGTCTGGATTTCATAGGTCCCCACTTTTTTTTTGTGATTTATGAAATAAGCACATAGTCTCTTTCCCAGTTAATGGTTCTACTGCTAGTTACTGAAAAACAAACAGGAGGCAAGGGGGAAGGAATGAGAGAGGGCAACACAGAAGTGGGTCATTTGTGAGTACTGTATTAGACATCTCTGGCTCACACATGCATGTGCCCAAGGTCCCTTCCTCAACTACCTTCTCACCTTATCCTAAAGACATCTTGATAGTCTCACTCTTTTCACCCTTTATCCCTGATTATAACCTCAGCCAACTTCCTATTCCTGTCTAGTTAGGGTATAGTGCTCAAGAAAGTTTTACTGACCATGAGGTTTCTACCTCTCAGGAGGGGATACTCTTTTCATTCTCACTTCTTCCCCAATAAGGAACCAAACCAACCCAACCTACTCCTAACCCCTGCTGCTCTTCACTTGCTAAGTCTTCTCTGACAATGGGCTTCATATAAAAAAGTATTCATGTGTTCTTTTATCCAAAAACTAGAATGCCCTGTATGTCACACTAAATATATTCTTTAGTAAACAATGGTGATCCACAATTTTGAATCCAGAAAGAGTAGCAGAATGTGCCCTGCATTATGTACAGCCACTCAAGAAATAGTGAAACAACTTTGTTTAAGAAAGTTACTTTGGCAAAAGTATCAGAAGCTAGGGGAATTTTTTAAGCCACTCTAAGCCACACTCGTAAATATGCTACAAGTACAGTTAATCTCTATTTTCAGTCTATGGAACTATTTCACTAGTGTAACTGCAACCCCAGCCTTGAGCTACATTCCGTGACAAAGCTTTCTATCTAGAGTCACTATCCGTACTAAATATATTTAACTGATACCAACTTAAGGCATCAACTTCCTAAATTAGGGACAGCAATGACAACAAAAATAAATTGCTCACGATAGAATTCTTATCACAATAGCAACCTGCCCCCATGTGAGCACCCAGCACTGGCCTCAAATCTGTCAGATGGAGATGCTTCCTTACTTCACGTGTAGTGATTCCAGTGCATCCAATCGTACAGACCCAGTTCAGAGGTCTGGCAGTCCAAACACCTTCCTAATGGTGAAGACCAATTCCATGGGTAAGAAATAGCTGGGCTATTCTGAGTAAAACAAACTTGGGGGAAACCAAGCAGTTTGGACAGACAACTGTATGTGCGCTGAAAATGCAAATAAAGCAGTGACATTAGGAGCTACCATCACCCCACCTTAGAGCCCAACATCTATAAACTATCCACCAGCAGTATTTTCCCTTCAAATTTTATCCCATCTCTAGCTCCATAAACTGTGAGCTCCTAGCATGCAAATACCATGGGGAGTTTTGTCCATTTTTTCCATTTTGTCTTAAAGATTGGGTCTAATTTATGTTTCCAAGGCTGGCCTTGAACTCCTAGACTCCAGAGATCCTCTTCCTCAGGCTCCCAAGTTGCTAGATTATAGCTAAACAGTACCATGCCCATCTTGTCCAAAGTTTTACAGTCCTAACCTATGTCTTTTTTCCCAACAGAGACCATCCTTAATGGTTAAGTAAATTTCAGGCTCATCATTCATAGAGGTACTGGCATCAGAAGCAACAATCACTATTGTCAAGGCCTGCTGGCATTGAGTTTTTCATTTTTCTTCCTAGGAAATGTTGTTTTTTTGAAGAGGAAAGGGTGAGCTGAGCTGCAAAGCTGGAGAAAGTGACTTTACAACTCTGCTGTTTTGTTCAATTTCTCTTAGACAGAAAGCCTGCAGAGCTCAATGGAGGATTAGAAGGGAAAGGACTGTTTTATTATTAAAAAAAGAACAAACTATCCAGCTCTTGCCTTGACACCTGTTTGTAACTTCATATCTAGATGAGGAGTCATTTGAAAAGAAATGTCCTCTGATTTCCATATGACAATCAGAATATGCAGCAGGACTTCCTGAGCATGGAACATATACACACTCTGCCTTCCCCAATAACAGGAAGACAAGAAATCACAAAACCACTCTTATTTTACAGATGGAGTCTGAGACCCAGAAAGTTCCTGTGATAGGTCCAAGGTCTAAAGCAGGTCAATGACAGAGCCAGGATAATATCATGGTTCCCCAACTCCCAGTTCAATGATATTTATGATTCAATAGCTGTGACAAATTTTTTATTGTGCTCTTTGAACAAGTGACAAATGTTAGGAAACAAAACATTAAATTTTTGCATTCTCTATAGACATCAGTAACCTGCTATCTTTTCTATGGAAAGTTGGGTCCCTCAGCCAGTTATTTAATCTTGAATTGGCTCAAGTTCATATGAAGGCTGGTCAGTCACCCTTCACAGAGCTCAGGATCTCTTGGTCTGTAAATAGGCGGAAAGCAATCTGCTCATATTGATACTTGGTCCCACACTCAAACAAACATCCAAACAAGCCTTCTTGCCCCACAGCAGCCAGATCAGAGTAGCCAGAAGGCCCACAGTATACGACCCAGGGGTGAGACCAACAGTTAGTATCCAGGGGATTCTGGTTGAGGTAGATGCCAAGGTCAACTCTCCTTTTCTTATTGGTTGGGTGTGAGTATAAGAGCCATGTTTCTGATGGTGTTCCAGCTCCTTCCTCCAGTTTCAATGAACTGTCCAGCAGAGGGTTCTGCTCAATGGAAGGAGCATTTTTGTCACTAAAGTTCTGACTTCTATTTGGTATCACCAGGGGTCGGAAACTCACTACACTGCCTTGGCAGCCATGTGGGGGCTCACAAAGCTGTCGGCTCAGGGCCTGTGCCTCAAAGTATTCACCACAATCACTGCTAAGAGCCTCTGCCCGACACCTGTTTGGTGTCCGAGCACTGCAATAGAGCACAGAGTGACCAGCTGTCTTGGTCACTTCTGCCACTTGGCACTCCACTGTTGTCAGGGACTGAATGAGCCTGCCATGGTGCCATGTGACCCCTAAGTCATCACTGTAGATCATCAGAGAATGGGGTCTGACCATGCATGCCAGCGAGAAGCAAAAGAGCCGATGAGAGAAGCAGTAGGCATACGCAGGGATGACCAGCCTCCCCGACTTCAGCTGGATGCCATGCCCAGGGCCCACAGCAAATGTGGCCCAGTGCTTTATCTCTGGACCAATGACCTCCTCAGTCAAGTCTCTCACTTCACTCCACGAGCGCCCAACATCCTGACTGCAGATGAGGCAAAGGCGGGCAGCATTCCTGCCTGTCCTAATTTGGTGACGCTCAGTGACATGGTCCAGGACACAGATGAAAAACAGGTACACACAGCCATTCTTCTGCTCCCACACAGGACAGGGGTTCATGGTCCGATGCCCAGGTAACGTGGCTTCCATCAGTGGCTTCATGGGTTCCCACTAGACAAGAGAAAGAGAGAGGAGAATAAAGAAAGGGAGATAAAGAAAGGGAGTGAGCTTCTAATAGGAAGACATGAGCTTCATTAAAAGCATTCGTATTTTTCATAGACAAATGATACTAATAACTATAAAATTATAAAGCTCAAGTATTCACCAAATTTTCAAATATTACATACTCATTTATGAAGCTGGAAAGAGGCAAGACTACCTACTGCACATGCTGCCCCTCTATCTAGAATGTTCTTCCTCACTTTACCCAAACTTCCAAATCATCCACTAACACATAACTCTAAATTCATCTCTTTGTGAAGCCTTTCATGAAACCCTGTGTCTTTCCCTAATAAGGTATAGCAATTATATAACACTGCAATTAAGGGGGATAACTGTCCCTCTTAAGACTATGACCCTTTTGAAGGCAGAAACCAAATTGCATAGTATCTCCACTGCATGCTACATGATAGTAGCCAAATAAAACTTTATAAAAAGAAAGATAAAGAAATGCAAGGCAGGCAAATTAAGTTTTAGGTCAATACAGGGAAACTGAAGACAAAGATTTTTTCCTTCCTGTGCTAGCCTTGTGAAACAATTAAAAGCAGTGCTATTAAAAGTGCAAACACATAGTCAGAGATACCCAGCTCTTTATCACTACTTCAAGAGAACGGGTGGATTATATAATCTTATTCTACTTCAATTTCTTAATCAGTTAAATGGAATATTTAACTCATTTTGGATATATACACTTTGGAAGTCCATTTGAGGCCTCCAAGTAGTGATATCAAGTGAACAACTGGGTACAACTGGTTTGGAATACAGAGGAGAAATCTCATTGGAGTCAGAAATCTGTAAGTTACTGTTATTGGGCCAATGAATGGCCATCATTGGTCCATTAACATCATTACAGAGAAGTTGTTGTAAAGATACAATTAGATAATGTCTAGCCAGACATATTACAAAGACAGGCCTAATCTCCTTAATATAGTTTTTATGTTTCTTTTTTCTTAGTTATCATTCTCTCTTTTTCTTTAATATATTTTAAAAACAATTGAATAAACTGGGCAAAGGCAAGACCAGACAACACACAAAAAATAAATAAAAAGAAAAAAAAACACCAAAAAAGAAAAACCCACCTCACACATTTAAAACTTCAGGTTAAACAGGCTCAGCATTTAATTTGCAAAACCATAAAGTTTGATAATATTCTGTAAGAAAAATATGGAAAAACAGGCAACCTCATATATATACAGTGGTGCGCTGGTTCATGTTTGTAAACAACTTGGTTCACAAGCAGAAGCATTTGGAAAAATTTTGATTTTGTTTGTGAACTTGCATCAGGTAATGAATACAACCATGGCCACCTTTGCTGCATGAATACAAATGTGGCCATCTTTTCCAGAATTGTAGAATGAGCTAAGTAAATGAACCAAGGTACCACTGTGTATATAGTTGGAGTGCAAATAGGTAAATCCTTATGTAGGACAAGTCAAAATTACAGATACATTTATCCTTTCCTAGCATGCCCAATTCAGGAAATTTAACCTAAAATGTATCTGCTCATCAATTTATATAAGAATATTCATTGGTGAGCTAAATAAACCTCTTTTCTTTATAATGTAAAAAAATTAACTATAGCTTTTCTTATAACGGTAAAATATCACAAACATCTCAAATACTCATCAGCAGGAGACTGGTTAAGAAATATACAGTGCATCAGTAGAGAAGTTGGGGAGGGGGCTTTTTACCACTGCTATTGATAAAGAAAGATTGCCAAAAAATATTGTTAAATGAACAAACCAAAATACAGAACACTGTATGTACTATGCAACTTTTGCATATGAAATGAAGAAAAAGACTTTTGGTTCCAGTACACTAAGTAATTGGACACGACCCATTTGCTCACAACTAGAAAAGATAGACAAAATATAAAAACAAAACCAAAAGCATCTGTTTGAAAGGATCAAAGAAAAAATAAGGCAATGGTAAATTACAGGCTAAGAACTGAAAGTTCATTGAAGACCTAGGTACTTCATGTCTCTGCATTCAGGATTATTCCTATTATTCTCAAAAATGTAATTGAAAGGCGGATCAGGGCAAAATCCTAGCAGTAAGAATGAAACTGAAACAAATCAATCCTCATGATCACCACTCTAGAAAACTGGCTGACATTATATTTTGAAGTGAAATATAGATGTACCATATGACCCAGTAATTCCACTCCTGGAGCCATACCTAATAAAAACACATGCCCACAATACTAAAAAACATACACAAGAATATTCATAGCAGTGTTATGTATACTTGTAATATCTAACTCGACACTAGAATGTATCATTTAATTTTGCTATATTCAGACAATGTAATAACATGTAATAATGAAAATGAGTAAACTACAACTGCATGTAACAATCTGGATCAATCTCAAGAATATAATATTGGACAAGACATAAAAAATACAGATTAGGTGGCCATGGCAGTGCATACCTATAATCCCAGCACTCAGGAAGGCTGAAGTGGGAGGTCACAAGTGCTAACTCAGCCTAAGCAATTTAGCAAGTTACCACAGTCTCAAAAATAAAACATGTAGGCCAGATGTGGTGATGCATGCCTGTAATCCCAGCCCTTGGGAGGCTGAGACAGGATGATCACCAGGAGTTTGAAGACAGGCTGAGCTACAAAGTGAGTTCAAGGCAAGCCTAAACTACAGGAAAAGACCCTGTCTCAAAACAAAAAAGGCATTAAGATGTGTTACATGTGTGTTCTAACTCCCCACAAGGAATGTAAACATTATGTACAATAAATGTGTACTAAAAAACAAATCAAAAAATACCAAAACAGGTCTAGATTTGATCTTTAAACTCTTAAAACAAGTTGGCAGGATGCCAAAGAAACATACAAATTACAATATTGAAATGTCTGCAGAAGAAACAGCTGTGGCTATCAAGGGCAGTTTCCCCTAGTGGTATTTTTAGGACAAAGATGTTAATGTAGAGTCTTTCAAAACTAAACCTCAGTATTCAGGTTTAATTGAAGTGTTGACACTTTGCAACAAATAAGTGGGTACTTAGTTTCTAAAAGGTTAACGAACTGCCCCAGTAACTCTAAGACAGACGCCTACAGGGATCTGCACTGTGACTGCAGCTATTCCAAAGATGAAGATATTCAGGTCAGGGAATGACGTCCCTTCGGGCCAGATTACCAACTACAGAGCCTTCTTAAAACAGTCCTTGTTTTCACAGGTGCAAAAGAGACAAGGCCTCAAACTTAGTTTTATATGAAGGAGTGATAATAAATGATTCTGTTGAACAGTTTCCAGCTTCTCTCTCTCCCCTTCTGACTCTAATTGGTGTAATGTATTATAAAAGAGCTCTGTTATAATTCACCTGAAAAGTGCTATAATACTCCCTAGGGAAAGTTCTGACCAGTCTATTTATAGATATAAACCTAAAACTATAAAAAGAGTTATTATAATTCAACACAGCCAATACACCTAAGTACACTCTGATTTAAAAGTGATTGCTTTATACGCTATGTTTTCTTGTTTGTTAATCTGTTTTTATTAATAAGTGGCTAAAATACCTGCAGCTGCTTCATTGAAGATTTTGAGGTCATATCAATTTCATTTTTCCTTTTTATTTTTGTCCTTATAAACTTCTGACTCTTTTGAGATTTTCCATAGAAAATCAGTTGTACAGGATTTTGAGCGAGTCAAACTCACCTAAAAAATTAGAAAGTTAAAAAAAACCTGCTAGACTCAAGGTTTAAATGAGATGTACAGGTTAAAAAACCTTAATGTTTGATAACATAAAGGTTATATATGACTAGGCTAATGTGTATTAAATTTCAGATTTATGTTCTATTTTAATTGGCTTATACAGAAATAGACACTCATGATAGTGTGCTAGCCTTAATGTTTTTTGTTCGCATGGCTGTGAACAAAAAGAGTAAACTAATTTAAATTGGTTGTTGTTGGGTGTGGTAACATATATCTGCAACCCTAGTTCTCAGGAGGCTGAGGCAGGAGGATCACCTGGAATTTGAGACCAGCCTGTACTACACAGTGAGTTCAAGGCCACTCTAAATTACACAGCAAGACCTCGTCTCAAAAACATTAAATTAGTTGATAAGAGAAGATTAAAAATGTCATTTTAAAACTTACTAACATTATTTTGTCCAGGTTGTTAGAGAATGAAGATAAAATTTTTAAAAACTGATTTTGTAAGTACAATGCCTATTGTTTTCTGTGTATAATAACTTGAGAGTTTTCCTAGGTTAAAGATAACATATACAACTTAAAAGTGTTAACTTCTATGCTTTTGTTCTCATGAGACATCAAAAGTAACTGTTAAATAAGTAAGTGAGGGCCCTTATGCCTAAGGAACTACTGGAGAAAATTCCCCTTGGTGGCTGAAAAAGCACTTGCCTGAACCAGTTTGCTTAAGTGTTCTCCACTGAAGGGTACCTTCTGCAGTTTTTCTCCAGAGCTGTATTGAGCTCCACCCCAACAAGTGTTATTAAAAATTATTATATATACATTTATATGTATAATTACATTGGCAATAATTAGGACTTAAGCTTTCTATGTCTAAAACAATAAGATTTTCTTAAGATATTAAAATGCTTCTGGTTACTTAATCGAGTTTTAAAAGTTAAAGATTATTTAAACATAGATTTGTAAAATGTTTTCAATAATCAACATGTACCTGGTTAAATGACCATTTATCTTATGATACAATCTATATATCTGGAACTAGACATATATAATATGTATACATGTACATATACAAAATAAATGAATTTTAAGCTTTAAAGTTTATAAGATTCAGCTATACAAATGTGCTGCTATAAACATGGGCGCACATGTATTGCTGTGGTATAATGCTTTTAATTCTTTTGAGAAAACACCAAGAATAGATGGGCCAATGGGACTTCTACTACTCTGCCATAGAGAAGGATAAACTTGAGACATTTATTACTAAATAGATGGACCTTGACATATTCTTAAGTGAAATAAATTGAACACACGTGAATATCACATCGTCTTACTAATGTGAGAAACTGAAGGTATAAATAAGAACTAAACTGTACAAGAGATATGGTGAAATGGAAGAGATGCTCAAAAGGAATGGGGAACTAGGGAGGAGGGAGAGAGAAAGGAAGAGAAAAGGAAAAAAACAAGAAAATGAAAAAAGGGGAGAGGGGACGGGAAAGGAGGTGAAGAGAGGGGAGAAAAGGGCAAGCCTCCCACTGTCTGTGATAGTAAGGCAACATGACCAAAGGTAACACTTGTCTAACAGATAAGGAAACAGCTAGAACTCTAAGCTCTGCTGGGCTACAAGGGTAGACCTGTAGGGAGGCCTTTGGCAAGCAGGAGTCTGGTCTTCAAAAGACACAAACACTCGGTGCAATTGAAATAGAAGAACAGAGACTTAAAATTCCAAAAAGTTAAAAAAAAAACTCCTATAGGGAAATATGAGCCAGTGTCATCAAAAGCAAGTGTAGAGATTTCTGGAAAAAAAAACCACATGTTCAGCAGAATAACATTTGTACCGTAACAGAACAAGGCAAGTGTTATGGATATAAAGATTCAATGGTGAGATTTCAGGTATCTGTAGGTAGAAAAGCAGAGTGGACTGGGGATTACCTATTATAAAAAGATGGACAGATACACAGCTATATATATTTTTATAAGACTCTCAAGTCATTGTCTCATTGGATCTTTACTTCAACCAGCTCTGGAAATAAAGCAGGTAACAAAAAGAAATATGAGGTCTAAAATAACTCTGTAGCTTCCAGGCCCAAAGAGCAGCAACCACCTTTTTCCCACCAAAATTTCAATAAAAATGGGCCACATAAGGGCAAGTGGCAGATCCCAGTTCCATCACATACTACTTATATGCCCAAAGCAAGTCACTTTAATTATCTGGCCCAATTTCTCCTGCAAGGAGATGATAATATGTACCTCATATAAAGCACTTTGTAGTATTAAGAGTATGGTTGTTTCTGTTACTTCCTCTTTGTTATCTACTAAATGTGGTCTTAAAACAAGTTACCTTCCAGAGCACCATGATAAGTCTGAGACTGAGTTTGAAGGCTACCTATTTCTACTGCTGTATTATAATTGCACAACCTTGGGCAAACAGCGACCTCTTTGATCCTCAGTTTCCTCACAGGAAAGATGTGACTGACAACAGTACTTATGATACAGAATGGCTGTGAAGATTCAATGTGCACTGGCATATAACATTTAGTGAGAGTGTGTTTTCGCTGTTTTTCCTCCGCTCCCACCCAAGGCTTTTCCAGCATAGATAGGAAAAGTGCACAAAGAACTATAAAGACAAAGTGAGGTCCAGGCCAAGATCTGGGATGAATCACCTGTACTGAGTGTCCAGTCCTCAACCCTCGCCTCAGCACCAGGTGGAGAGCATCCTCATCCCTGCCTGTGGAACGCTTCTCTGCAAAGGCCAGGAAGGTGCGGGTAGGGGGCACATACAGTAGGGCTGGGATCCGGTAAGTAACCCCATTCCTGTCTTCCTGCTGGAACAGAGGGCTGTTGAAGGAGCACGATGTCACCTCTTCCATGACTTCTGCAAGACAGGAGGCAGCTCAGTGTGTACCCATACCCAAGTGCTGGCCTGCAAGCAAGTTCTCTATCATTCCATGTCTGAAGGGCACAAGAGAAACATAGATGTACTCAAATGTTAATTTTTCCATACAAAGGGAATATCATAGTCTCAACAGCTATCTGAAGTCTCATTTAACAACACTAGCCTCCAGACTCTGGAAAAATACACAGCCTGTGTCAAGTGTGCACCTCTGCAGAGAGGTCCTGCACATGCTCTGCTTAGCATCCAGGGGTCAGGAGGTAATCTTCTCCTCCTAGTCTAACCTATCAGAGACTGTACATCCAACAGAAGATTTAGATTTTCAACAAATCTAGTTTCATGCAGAGATCTCTGCTCCAAGTAGATGTGGACCTGCAGCTTCTCTTGTATGAAAGCAAGCTTGCTGTGACAGCAAGCTTACTGAAGCCCAACCTTCTAGGCAAGACCAGCAAACATCTAGGGCAGGTAGGGACAGATCAAGGGTTGAACTACTCTGGTTTTCAGTTTGTTTTTGGTTTCCAGGCCACTAAGTAGCAAAACTTGCATCAAGTACCAGGTGTCCAAAATTCCACCTTGAGTCTTTTTGCAAACACAGATTCCTTCTGTAATAGCTGGAGATTTCTTACAATCCTAATGCAGGGTTAATGTTTACGGCTCGAAGGAAGCAGTTAAAAATAGAATAACTAAGAATACTCTCTGTGTCATCTACCCAGTGGATGGCTCTCCGTCAACACTCCAAAGCATGTCTAAGTTCAAATGGTGCCCCTCACCTACTCCACTGGCCCAGAGCCCCGCTGGTGGGGAGGTCTCCCAGCCCCGCTCACCTGCGCGGGCCTCCGGGTCCCCAGCGTCCCTTGTGTCCCTCAAGGCTGATCTAGGCACGAGGCCCTGTTCCACGGGGAGCGGGGTGAGTCCTCGGGTCTCGGGCACCGACGCCCCGCAGAATAATCGGCACCAGAGTTGGGGAGACCGAGACAGCCGAGAGGAACAGGAAGAGATGTTCACCGAACACACGTAGGCAAACCCCGAGAAGTCAATTCCGTACAGCTGGCCTCAAAGTAGCAAAGACACCCGGGACAGATCACGTCGGGGAGCAGGTGGCAGGAACAGCTGACAGCTCACCTACTGGGACCTGAAACCAACCTCTGGCCACCAGGCGGGGCCTTCTGCCCAGATATTCGCCTCGGCCTCAGCCCCGCCCCCTCCTCCTCCTCCGCCCCTGCCGCGCGGTCTCCGGGCTCAGGTTCCCAAAGCCAAACTCTTCTTTGATTCGTTGGCCTGTTAGCAGGTATCACCGCCTAAAACTTCCCTGGATAAACTGGGAATGGAGCAAAAGTTCCGGGGGCTCTAAAAGGACTGCAAAAAGGATCGATAACCCTTGTGCTTTGGGCACCTCTGTTGCTAAATGAATAAATTTTTTGAAAATAAAAATTATATTTATAAACTTTCACCGAGTCCATTGTCTGTGTCACAGTCATGACAACTAAGAAGCATGAGAAATAAGAAGTCAAGACCTCCACCTAAGAAAGCCCAGACAGCTCCTAGAAGAGGTGGCATGGAAATTTTTAAAAATGAAAGATAGATAATAGGAAACAGATAAGACTTTTTTTTTGCAAATGGGAAGGAGACCAATATGTAGATGGAGAGAGTAGGGAGAGAGGAGAGTGAAAGGATTGTAAGAATTTAAATGTTGTGTATGTTTACCAACTCCCCACAATGAATGTAATATTTACTACAGATATGTACTAATAAAAATAAAATTTAAATTAAACAAGGATACGATCAGAAACTAACTCAGTACCAATGAGCCCCCCAAATGCTATTTTCTCCTAAAATGAACCACAATTCAGTAAGAAAATAACCGATTTCACATGTTAGACTAAACGGAGGCGCAACTGAGACCACTGAGGCAGGTAAAAGTCGAAGCAGTGTGCCAGGATTTTATTGCCAACGGCGAAGTCAGGCCAATGGCGAAAAGACCGTTGGTCCTGAGCAAGGGGTGAAGGCATGTTTTTATATAGAAGCTTAGGTAAGGGAGGGAGGTATTGGGGGGTTGCTGCTCAGAGTTTGCAAAATTTTGGGTCGCTGAATAGGAGGACTACAGCAAGGTGATAGGGTTGATACAGGAGGTGCTGGCAGGCACAGCATGTCTCTTGTGGTTTTTCGTGGAACCAGCTCATTGCAGGTTGAGCTGTGTAGGGACAGGTGCTGGCTTCCTGTTGAACGCCATGCCCCTGTTGATGCGAATAGCAGACCTGTTTGGGGGAGTTTGTCTCTCCTAGTTGGGCAACGTTCTAGTTCAGAGACCTGACAACATCTAGGGAAGAAATAATATCTTGTCCTATCAGAAAACAAGGAATCTGTGAAAGAATATTTGGGTCATGTCACAAGAGCCAACTTGAAGATGATCCCATTGGCCAAATATGAAAAATTTTAAGCCTCAGAAAGAAAAATTGCTGGAAAAAGTTAAACGAACTGTTAAAATTCATGGGTTTATATTGACATATGGAGAGGGCAAATCTCTTAGGTTACTCAGAGATTGCCATGGAAACAATTGAGCTTCTGTTCTAACTTCCCTATACATAGTATATTTCAGGGTAACTAAATAGTTGACAGGGAAGAGTTCCCTTTTATAAAACAAACAACTAAAATGTGCAATAAAAATTGTACAGCCTGCACTCAGAAATCTTGTCAAAAAATCAAATTTGAAACTGGGTGTAGTGGATACGCCTGTAATCTGGATACTTGGGAGGCTGAGGCACCAGGATTGCTGCTATTTGGAGGCCAGTGTGAAGCAAGACCCTGTTTAACAAAAAACAAACAAACAAAAAAGAATCAAAACCCGAAACAGCAGATGTTAAATGACATCATCCAGATACAATCAGCCAAATCTATAACCTCAGAAGTTCTAAAAGAAAAATGATGTGGCTTGTTAACAAATGGCAAGAAAAAAAAAAAGAGGCAGGAAAATTTACAGATTAGAACTAAAAACAAGTAAAAGAAACATTGTGAGCCTTGATTAGATCCTAGTTTGAATAAATCAGCTTTATAAAGACACTGAGGCAAGCAATGCAATTTTATACAGATATGATATTAGGTGATATTCAACAGTTGTTTATTTTTTGGGAATAATAATGGCATTATGTTTTAAGAAAATATTCTCAACTAACAAAGAATGCCAAGTCCCCAGATCTGTACTAGATTATAACCCATAGAATGAAATAAAAACCATACCCATATGCTATAATGATTGAATAAATAAATTAAGGATGCATAAGTTTTCCAAAAAATAGAATTCCAATTAATAAATGTAGGAGGAAATAGAAAACACCATTAGCCTTCTTTTAAATGTTGGCAAAAGGACTTCATCCTAATAAGATGATGCAGAACATATAATTAATATTTCTAAAGTACCAAAATGATTCATAGTCATTCTTTCAATGCTTCATTTTTAATCTGAGGCTCTGTCATCAGGATGAGTCAATTCTGCCTCCCTGGTGTAATGGCACCAGGACACATTTCAATGAAGGCATGTGACCACAGTTGTAAGGAGGTTTCTAGGGCAATCGCCAGCTGTCGTGACCTGCAGGCATTGTCTCAGCTGCAGCAGCTATCTCACCCAAGGTCATGCCCCTTCACAGGTTGGCAATGTTAATGGTTCTTCAACACTTCAGTAACTAAGCAGTATAAAGGATAAAGTTCTGCTCACTCTGGTGGTTCACCCCAACCCATACAGAGTTAAAGTTGTCATAAGGCCTGCATCATATCTCACCTTCCTCTGAACTTGCCTGCTCTCTTTTCCACGGTGTTGGCAGTATTTTTTAATGGAAAAAATAAAACAAAAATTTGTAACAAAATAATAGGAGAGTAACAATATAGTTAACACATTGTTAACTTCAAAGTAGTTACTCAGTATACAAGATACCGGCATATCCAGAGGATATTAGCACAACCATTCTTTTCTATGACTAACTTGTATTTTTTTGTTTCCCTTCTTTCTTTTCCCCCTCCCCTCACCCTAGTTCCTCTTTCCTTTTGCAGTTTCTTCCCTTTTCACAGTATACATTTTGGATCTTACTTACTCTTTCAGTTTCTAACATCAAGAAGACAATACATACAATGTTTACACATAAGAGTCTGATTTATTTCACTTATGAATATGGTCTCAAGTTGCATCCATTTACCTAGATATGGCTCAAGTTTATCCTTCTTCAAGCCTGAGAAGTACCAAAAAGATCATATATTTTTATGCATCCCTTAGTTGATAGGCATTTGGGTTGTTTGATTGATCTAATACAAATTGTACTGCTATAAAACATAGATGCAAATATATTTCTGTGGTATGCTGTTTTTAATTTGGGGAAGATATCCAGAAAGGGAATAGCTGGGTCAAATGGGACCTCTAATCCTAAGTTTTTGAGGCGACTCCATAACTGATTTCCATAATGGTTGCACCAATCTATACTCCCACCAATAAGAGAGAATGGTTCCTTTTTACTCACAGCCCCTCTAGTATTTTTTATTGGTTGATTTCTTAATAATAGCCTTCTTTCTAAGTGAGATGGAATCTCAGCGTTGTTTTAATCTGTGTCTCACAAATGATCAATGATGTTGAATCTTTTTCATATATGTATTTGGTGTTTGTAGTTCTTCATCTGAGAAGTACGTACTCATCTCAGATGCCATTTTTTATTGGGTCTTTGAACGCCAAAGACCCAAAGACTCTTTAGCACCAAATGCCAAAACCAAAACACAGACTTCACAAGCACAGCAATGGGCTTTGCTCACACTTGCTAACATCCCATGGTCAAGCAAGTCACACAGCTGGGCTCAGCATGAAAGGGATGGAGAAGTGTCCTCCATGACAGTGGGCCCCACAGAGCCATGCTGTGCACAGGTGTGCATACTGGTTGTATTATGAAGATTACTTTGTATACTTAACATCATATATATGCTTGTCCAAGTCAGGAGACCTACAATTCACTGGTCCTCTTGAACGTTTGTATTATATCTGTAGAATAAACATGCCAAATTTCTCAACCCTCCCATTCTACTTCTAAACAAATGATGGGGGCCAGGGATTCAACACAGTGGCATAAGGGCCTACCTTGCAAGCACACAGTTCTGAATTCAATCCCCTGTACCACAAACAAAACAAAACAAAAAACCCTACAAATGATGGATGTTTACATTGTATCAGGTCTTTGACTTTGTCTTCCAACTGCAATAATACGATAGACATCCTGATACACATGTCCTTATATGTTCTTATATATTCCTTTCTATATTAGGGACCAGCAAACAAAGGTTTACAGACCAAACTCAGTCTAGTATTGATATTTTTTCCTCTTAAAAAACTTTGATACATTTTAGATATTAATGATAACATTCACCACAAAGAATTTGTACATGATATATCTTGTTTCTTTTTTTCCCCCATTCCCCTTCCCTCCCTCCAAACCCTTTTCCCCTTCTTATTCACAAAAGCTTTATTTCCATTTTTTCTGTTCTTTTTTTCTGGGCCCTGCTTTCCTTTCCCCTGCTCTCTCCACTGTTCCCATTCTCATTTGAATATTTTTTCCAACTTCCCAATATGTATTATATATTCTGGTTCTTATTTACACTTTCAGTTTCTCACACCAGAGAAACAATGCAGTGTTTAAACATTTGTGTCAGATTTATTTCGCATAAAAGAGTATGGTCTCTTGGTAAGAGCCTCTGGCATGAGCCAGGAGGAAAATCAGTGTCTCTCAAGACCCTGCCATGGTGGAACTTAGGCTGCTATACAAGAAAGCAGTTTGCCCACCCTCTTGGTAAGCGCCCTGGTGTGAGCCAGGAGGAGAATCAGTCAGCGGTTCCGTTGAGTCTGCCGTTGCTGGGGCTGAGAATCAAACATCTCCCCCATCCCCACCCCACTCTGCCCCGTTAGCAACTGGGGACAGAGGTCTGAGCATCTCTTGGGAGGATGACCATAGGTAATGTAGCAAATATGGGGGATTTCCTTCTGTCTTATTTGAAGGCAAAGATTGTTTTCATTGTTTTGTTTTGTTATGACTGTTTTGCTCTAGTCAATATTTTCAATTGGTTTTATAATGTTCTGTTTCGATTTTGCTATACCTGATTGACTGGACAACTACTGTGAAGATAACGAGATATACTATAGTACCTTTTCCTGCCATCCCACTATCCTGCTATGAAGTTCTGTACCAATTTCACTGCATTGTCTCGATTGGCTTAGTTCTGTTGTATTTTTACTACCTTCAAAATCAAATAAAAAGAAAAAAAGAGTATGGTCTCAAGGTACATCCATTTACCTAGAAATGTCTCAAGTTTATCTTAGTTTATGGCAGAGCAGTACTCCAATGTATTAAAAAATCCACATCTTTGACCACTCATTGGTTGATGTGTGCATTTGGGTAGTTTCCAAGATTCAGCAATTACAAATCGTGCCACTATAAACATGAGTGTGCAGATATTGCTGTGACACAGTGCTTTTCATTCATTCAGGAAGCTATCAAGAAAGGGAATAGTTAGGTCAAATGGCACTCTAGTCCTAGTGTTTTGAGGCCTCTTCACACTGACTTCCACAGTGCTTACACAATGGTTATACCACTGACAGTGGAGAAAAGTTTTTTCCCCACAGCCCTTCTAGCATTTGTTACTGGTTGATTTCTTGATGGTAGCCATTTTTTCTGAAGTGAGATGGAATCTCAGTGTTAATTTGCATTTCTGAAATGATCAGTGATGCTGAACATTTTTTCATATATATGAAATAATATATATTTGCTGTTTCCATTTCTTCATCTGAGAAATGTTGGGTCTTTGAATTTGGGTCTTTTGAATTTTGAGTCTTTAAATGTGCTCTTTAATTTTCTTTTCTTTCTTTCTTTCTTTTTTTTTTTTAGCTCTTTATATATTCTAGATAATAGTCCTTTGTTTGAACATCTGGAAAAAATTTTCTCCATACTGTTGCATTGTCTCTTCACTTTGTTGGCAGTCTCTTTTCACCATTAAAAGCTTTTCAATAAGATGAAATTTCAGTTGTTGATTCTTTGTGATATTTCCTGTGAGACTGGGGTTTTGTTCAGTCTTTGCCTACACCAGTATCTTCAAGAGATCCACCCATTCTCTCTTCCAGCAGATTTAGTGTTTTAATATTTAGATCTTTGACTCACATTGATTTTAGTTTCCTGCATAGTGAAATATACAAGTCTATTTTTAGTATCCTGCATGTGGAAAGCCAGTTTTTCCAGCAACATTTACTAAGGAGGCTATGCTTCTCCCAGTGAAGGTGTTTGGCTCCTTTGTCAAAGACAAGGTGGCTGAATGTGTTTGGAGTTTATTTCTGCATCTTAAAATCTGTTCCACTCACAGGTCTTTTTTTTTTTTTTTTTTTTTTTTTTTAAAGCCAGTACCATGCTGTTTTTATCAGTTCTGCTCTATTCCTTACTCATCTAGCTTTGGATTTGGATTTTCTCTAGAATCTTGAAGTGCATCATTAAGTTACTTATTTGGACTTCTGTTTTTCTGATGAGGGTATTGAAAGCTATAAACCTCCCTCTTGGGACTGCTTTCATTGTTTCCCATAGGTTCTCATAGATTGTACAGGCTTACTGTTTGATTCTAGGACCTAACTTCTACCTTTTTTGTGACCCACTGATTATTCAAGTGGGTATGATTTAATTTCCACATACTTGCAGTATTTCTGTGATTTCTTTGCCACTGATTTCTAGTTTTCCTGGATTATGATTTTCTCTGCCTAGCTTTAGTCGGAGGGCTTGAGAGGTGATCTCTCCTCCAGAAACCCTTCTGTCTATACACTCCAGGCTGTGGCAACTATCCCAGTGGAGCCAAATCCTTGCTCACACTTATAGAAGATGAAAAGCCAACTGAACAATGAGTTTTGTGGTGATGCAGACAATGGGGGTGGATGAGAGACATCGAGCAGTCTGTTGGCTTTAATACCAGCACTTCTGGACCACTGTAGATGCATGTGCTGAATCAGACTCAGGAACTCTGTAGCATCAAAGTGTGCCAGTCATGAAGCGTGATCCTGCAATGGTGATAAATTGTTCTCCAAATATCACCAGTGCATAGAATAGGTAGAGCAGATATACCAGCTGCAGCAAGTGTGGGCTGGTAGGTAACTGACTTTTTCAGCTGTTTAAACTGGTTTTTGGTGTGAGGGAAAAATCTTAAAGAGATTCATGTAGCCCAAAAAGTCTCCAAGTGGGATTATGAGCAGATTTTGGCACTCATGTTCTTCATAATAAAGAATATTTATATAGGTACTTCTGGGACATGAGTCTTCATAACCTCAAAAGGATGTATTTTCTGAAACCTCTAAAGATTTTTGTCCCAGAAAAGAAAGGGGATTTGCCCAAGAACACATATTACAATAAAGCTAGACTCAATCTCATTTACTTGTCACTCTCTAGAGAATCTGTTTTTCCCCCTTTTCCTCATCATACTCCCTCTTGGGATATGGAAAAATTTTGGAAAAATATCAATTTATTATCAATAAGAAAAAGTTGAAATAAAAATGTTTATACAATCAAATACTATGCAGTTATTAAAATGATTTTATCTATATAGACAGGGAAAGTACCTAAGAAATGTTTTACAAAGCATGCTGATAGTCCCAGATGGGGTCTGAGGAGGATCACTTTCAGAACACAAGTTCAAGACCAATCAGCCTGACAACATGGTAGAACCATCTTAAAAACAAACAAAAAAAAAAGAAAGAAAAAAAGCACTACAGGAAATACAGCAAATTGGAATTTTTATTTTAAAAAAAGTTTGTATATGTAAAGAGAAAGGTACAGCAGGTATCAAAAAACTCCAAGCAGTCATAATGGAGAGGGTTTTTCATTGTCTATAACCTTGAAACTTAGGTCTAACAATAACTCCATTACAGAATTCTCTGATTACACACTCTCAAAAGTTTTGAGTTCATAGGATTAAATTATCACCTTAAAAAAACTTTTCAAAAGGAAACTAAGCAGTTCAGAGAACTTCATGACCTACCCATGAATTACAGGAATGAAGATACAGTACAAAATCCAAGGCTTCTATTTCCAGTCATGTTAATAATCTTTTACTAGGTGATGCTAAACAGGGTAACATTCCCCAGTCCAACAGGAAAATGGTGCAAGTGTAATTTTTGTTCTATTTTGTTTTTTGGTAGCAGGAATCAAACTCATGACCTTGTACTTGCCAAGCAGGTGTTGAAGCCACTGAGCCCATAAGGGTAATGTTTTATAAGCTGAATAGCTTTAGGTTGTAGCTTCAGCTGGAATTGCACTTTTGTTGGGTTGGAGAGACAATATTACTAAAGGTCATAGGATCTATATCAGTGCCTAGCTCTCTTACCAGGCTGGGAAAATACTAGAAAAGGTGTGATATGTTGCCGGCAAGAATGTAGCCTCTGGAGTTAAAATCCCTGTTCTAGCATTAGCTATTTAGCAGGTTATTCAACTTTTGTTGTCTCAGCCTCATCTGTAAAATGGGGGTAATCACAGCACCACCTCTAGGGTTGCTGTGAGCATTACTGAGTCGGTATATGTGAGGTATGGAGTAGAAAGCTCTATGTGTTATTAGGAGGTCCTTAGCTAAGGTTCTCAAGGGCCTCTGAGCAGTGAAGCAGCCTAAAACTAAAGAGACCTATGGTAATAGTATAGTTGTTAACACTTGCTGCTGTTTGTTCCATCAACACTGTGATTTCATTTTTTTTATATCTTCTTTCCTTTTATTGAAAAAATTTTAGAAAATGGTAGTTAATAAAAGGCATAAACAAATGAACAGGGATACACTAGTGGAAAACATAGACAATACAAAATTAAAAATGCCACTGGTTTCTTTAATTGGTTAACTGCACAAAATGTGACAGGCAAATCTGTTTTAAACAAATTGAAAAGCTTTTTAAAAATTTTCCCCAAGTCAGACACATACACACCCACGAAAATGTTGTTAACAGAAAGCTGTCATACACAAGTTATATCCTGAATTCTTTAGGGAAACAGTTGTTGAAACAGGAATTAACACAAAGTTAGCAACAGGTTAACAAGTTTTAAAAATTGAGTCTTCAAATGTTGCATGGCACAAAGCTATAGTATGTAAAGTAGTGCTAAGTCTGAAGGAAAAAGTCTAGATAGCTTCCAGCAAAAATGCCTTTCTAGAAGAGCAAATCAAAACAACACAATCAGCAGACAAAGGAAGCTACAGCTAGATAGCAGAACTACAACTTCACACACCTGTGCTAGAAAATTCTATTTATCCAGCATTGACTAAAATTTCAAGACGAAACAGGGACATTTTAAACAATTCTTACTTTATCCAATTTAAATTGTTTTTTCACCCTACCCACCCAGTAATTTAGCATGATCCAGCAGAAAGAGCTGCTTTTAGAATTAGCTATTTTGCTTTTCTTTCTGTAGCAAGGCTGTCATGGAGCCTGGATATTTCAGGTTCATATGCATCCATGACCAGTGTCCCGCTATGGTCAAAGAATTTAGCAATGGACTTGGTGAACTCGGCTTCCCGCTGCTGCTTTGTTCTCCCACTGATGAAAGTCAGCTTCAGGGTGTATTTGTCATCAAACCTATGCATCAGGGCAAAGACAGCAAATCAAAAATCAGAGATTCAGCCAGTAACAATACAGCACCAAGCATTACCAAAGGACTGGGATAAGCTGGGCACTGAGAATATAAGCAACATAAACTTTAAAACAAAACAAAAACCTCCCAGGATTCTGCCTTTGAGATACAATTTTGATTCTTAAGTGTTGACATATTTTTTTTCAATTATAGCATACCTCTCTTACTTTATCACAGACTGATAAGCCATATAAACCATCTTCTCTTACCTCATGCTAGAAGAATCTTCCTGGTAGCTTCTTTTTTCTTATCTTACCTGACGAGTTCCTATTTGTTAGTTTGCATACAATTTTTCTAGGAATGCCCTCCCAATCTGGGCCACATGTGTCTCCCTTTGTCTTCCACAGCACCATCAGTCAATATTCAAATTAAACACTTGATACCTATTAAATGCCAGGTCTACTGATAGGCTCTCATGCTATCAATGAAATATTATTGAAATGCTATGTTGTATATGTGTTCTTCACCAGACTATGGGGTTCTTGAGAGTGAGAATTTTTGAACTGTTATCTAATCTTAGGTTGGCACTTAACAGGCAATCACAATTTTATGAATGAAGAACCATTGATTTTAAGGAGACTCTCCAATTCTAGGCTGCTGTAGCCCTTAATTTCTGTAAACAATCTGATCCCCAACCCAATACCCATGAACTCCAGGGATTCCCTAAGGAGCATAACACTGGGCCCAATGGGCCCACTCCTTACTTTTCTCTTGTAAACTGTACTTTAGCATAATAGTAGACACTTGTGTATCTTAGTACCTTTGCCTAAGAGACACAGGTATTTATCCACTTGGTATGAGGAACAGCAAGGTATGTGCACATGTCCCAAAGTTGCAAAAGAGATTATGCTCTATCTGATTTTGCATGTTTACCTGAGCATCAATACTCTAGGACTCGTTCAAAAACCAGCTGTAAAAGTTTTGAGGAGGTCAAAAGTGAATCATTAGATTATTTGTGCATGGATGATGATGATCCATTGTGGTAAAATACATTTTCATAACAGAAGGGTGGAATGGGTGTATGATGATAATGACCATAACTTTGACAATACTCACGTAAGTTAAAGTTCCTGTGACAGTGAATTAACTGATACAGACTCAGGGAACGCAGACCTCAATTCAGATGACAAAAATAGCAAGTTGAGTACATTATTTGACTAGCTAAAATGTTGCAAAATGGCCATGCAACCAAATGGAACAATCCAATGTTAGAACTAGGTCCCAAAATATAGTGAGAGTCTTGGCAGGGGTGAAACTGACAGAATGCCAGCACTGCCATTCAATGTTGGAAATTGTAACACATGAAAATGCTATAAAATGCTGTAAAATACACAAAGACTGAAATGCAAGTAAAACTATGCACTAACAGCCATATTAAAAATGTATTTGTTATGACACCTCACTACCTGAATTGAAAGCATTTACAGGTCTGTTGTACTTAGCACACATTTCTCGTGGTGATCACAGGAATGTAAAAGACTTATGGAAAAGCGAGTGGTCAAAGTATGGCATAAAAATTTATGTCCTTGTAGATGCAAAGATTTATTATGCTTTCAACTGACATTTATCCTGGAACTCAGCCATCAGGTCTTTATTTATATAGTAACAAACTGAAGGATGTTATGAACAGACTTCTTGCTCCCATCTCTCAAACTAATTGGAATGTGACAGATGACAACTTGTTTACCAGTTTCTAAGGGAATTTCATTTGCTAACAAGCACAAATTGATTGACACAGGAAGTCTAATCAGGAACAAAGCATAAATTTCAAATGAAATGCTGCAATTCCAAAACAGAATTGTATGGTACAATTGTTGGATTTCAGAAAAATGTACATTAGTCTCATATATTGCAAAGAAAAAATAATCTGGTAGTACTGATATCAATATTTCACTAGGATGAAAATACCAATAGGAAACCTCAACAAAATGGAAGCTTGCGATTGAAACTTTTTACAACAAATCTAAAGATGGAGTAGATATTGTTGATGAGTTATGTAGCACCTGTTACGTCTTTCAAAACACAAAGCACTGGCCAATATTGTGTTTTACTTGATCCTAAATGTGTGTGGCATAAATAGTTTGATAGTTTATAAAGAACATAACAAGTGAAAAATATCATGGAGAAATTTTCTTAGGAAGACTGGGACTGGACTTAGTAGAGAAAAAAAAACAAAATATTTCTGCCCAAGAACTATGCAAAAAAAAAATATTGTGGAGCACACTGGTGAGCTGACAGGTGAAAGATAGGCAAGAAAACAAAAACAGTGTCAACTGTGTCCTACAAGAAAGGACAGAAAACAAAACATATATGCTCTTAGTGTAAGCAATATGTCCTGGATGTGACAGTTGAAGCAAAGATTATTTCTGTAGTAGACTTATGTTTGTATTTACACTGTAGTTCACACAGGTTTTTATTTCTGATGCTATTGTTTAGGGTTTTTTAAAATTTTTTTCGTTTAGGTTTTATAAATACAGCTAATGTGAAAATGCTGATATTTATTCTAAGCACTCATTACATTTTTGATTATTTGATTTTATTGGTATCTTATGGTCCTGCACATTGTACAATATAGTAGGATGCTCCTGACAGCACAGGAAGGCAAAAAAGTATAGGAGAATGGCCTGCCACATAGGAAAGGAATGCTAAGCACAATGTGCTGTCAGTGTAAGCAAGACGTGTACACGGAACATGCAGCTATGCAGCTATGTGTGATGACTGCCTTGGATATGACAGCTGAGGCAAAGCTTATTTTTGTGGTATTTTTATTGGTATTTTCGATGTAGTTCATATAGGAATTTATTTTTTAATGTTACTTTTTAGGTTTAGTAAGCAAGTACACAGCTGATGTGAAAATGTTGATGTTTATTCTAAACATATAATGTTAAGAATACTTTTAATTTTATTGATATTTTATGTTCCTATTAACTACATATTATATAATATAATAAGAATCTCGTGACAAAACAAGACCACTGGGAAGTCAAGTATGCCCTACAAAAAGGCCAGGGAAAAAAAACATATATGCTGTCAATGTAAGCTACATGTATATATGGAACACGCTATTGCTGTGTGTGCAGATTGCCTTAGGTATAAATAAGTAAAGATTGTTTTATAAAGTGCTATTGGTATTTTTATTGTAGTTTATATGAGAATTTATTTGTGCTGTTCTTTTTAAAACTTTGTACACCAAAAAATAGATAATGAAAATTTTAATAAACACTAAAATTCAATACTTTGTTTTTGTGTAAGTACCCATTGTTTTAATTCATAAAATTAAAACTAATAATTCATCTATAGAAATATTCTAAAGAATAAACGTGGGTCTGCAGATCCTGTTTCTACGCCTTTAGGAGTAGTGTTATACTCCTATTAATGACACCCTAGGGTACCTTAAAGGCCTTTACTATTTTCCACTCATTTAATGACACCAACTTCTGTGGTAGGGTGACATTCTCTCACTACATGTTTCTATCATCATTTATGAGGGCATATTCTGGGAATTACTGTGCAAGTGTTATCTTTAGACAAAGTAGTTCCTTGAGCTGCTAGTTCAGCATGTTTAAATGGGAGAGCTTCTATTCACTTTTAAAATTACTATCCTGGTTAGAATGGCTTTTGAGCATTAATTACTACTCAAAAATTCACAGCCTTTTAATAAATCATTGACCTAGGTAGTAACTTTGAGCTTAGACAATTAGTAGTGAGGGTCCCTGAATTACTTTTGACATCTCAAAAAATTTTCTCAACCTCTAGGCACTGCTAATTGTCATCACAGTAATTTTTGGATTTCTGAGGGCAGTTTTATTGGCAGTTATATTGCTTCAAAGGCAGGACATTTCAGAAGTTATGATCTGATAGATTTCAGAAAGTTATTCATTAGTTCAAATATTTACTGAAGTCCACCCTTTATGTGTCAGATGGTTTTACATATACAGCAATGGCCAACTGGGCATAGTGACACACATCTGTAATCCCAGCACTTGAGAGGCTGGGTCAAGAGGAACCTGAGTTCCATAGGGAGTTCAAGACCAGCCTTAACTATGTAGTGAGGAATTCTGTCTTAAAACAACAACACAGCCTTTAATCAACTAAAGGGAGTTAAATTTTCAAGGCAGAAGAAACAAGCGCAAAAGTCTGGATGCAGAAATATACGTGGAATACTGGAAGAACAGAAAGAGGGCAATGTGAACAGAATAAAGTACAGGAAGATGCTAATGCTACACTAGTTACTTTCATACCCAAGAATAATTACTGAGAACCTATTACATTCTTAGGAAGCATATCTAGTGTTCTCAATTGGTGAGTAAGAGTACGAATTCTGGGCTCGAATTTGGACTGGAATTCTTACTCTACCACTGCCGAGCTGTTTGGTAGTATAAGAATTCATTCAACAATTTGGGCCTAATGTTCTTATCTATAAAATAGTATGCTAAAGGTTTAAATGAAATAGTATATTCAGCACAATACCCAACATACAGTAAATGCTCTACAGATGTTTGCTATATTGTACCTGTATCTCATGTTCCCAATAACCTTGAGGAATCTTCTTTGTTATTTTTGGCGTAACTCGAGTTGAACCCAGGGCTCCATGCATACTAGGCAAGCATACCCTGCTACTGAGCTATGTTCAGATAATTTGTAAGATATACCAAAAGTCATATACTTAGGTAAAGACTGGGTTAGAACATAAACCTAATCCTAGGCACCTATGAAAAATTTTGGGTCAGCTGCAAGAAATTATACCCACTATCAATCAGAAAGGGACTCTGGGTTGTGCTTTTTCTTGACCACACTGTAAGTGCGGTCAGGATCAAAGAAGACACTGAAGCTAAACAGGGAGTTCTTCAAAGATAATTGACCTTATACCTTAACTGGCCACAAGGAAAAACAAAGTCATTCTTCATTTTTCTACCAAAGTACAACTTTCTCCCAATGTTTTTCTTCAGAGTGTTTCTGCGATAATGCAATCTCTTAACTCCAGCACTAGGATAAACCTTCTAAATAATTTTCCTCGGGGCTGGGGATTTAGCTCAGCGGCATAAGCGCCTGCCTTGCAAGCAGGCAGTCGTGAGTTCGATCCCTGGTACCGATAAAAAGGAAAAAGACAAAAAAAAAAAAAAAAAAAAAATAATAATAATTTTCCTCTTCTTCATTTTACATGACTAACACTGTGATCTGTAGGGAATATGCACTAAGTAGTCTGCTATTAATAATACAAATCCCCCAGGAAAATCCAACATCAGGATTTAAGAATCTGAGAGAACAATTATTACCTTTTGAGACTGGAGGACAGTTGCCAAATATCATCCGGATCCATGCCTGTAGGATCTTTCCTGTGAGCCACAAGAAAGATGCTCTTCTCCTTATATGAGGTATAAATGGTCAGAATCCCCATCATCACAAAATAGGTTCAAATAAAGTTAAGGTGAACACCCAAACATGCAAACAAAAACAGACCAAACTGACAAGTAAGAGCCAATAAAACTTTCATGACAGTGCTAAAAAAGAAATGGTCACTTTTCTACTACTATAAATGTGGAGGACCACCTGGACCACTCTCCTTAGAAGGGCAATACCTCCATTTTGGCTACACCTGGTCCTATTTCCATGTATTGATAAGTACAGAGATGGTCAGGCCTTTTACTTATCCCTTCAGTTGGCTTTAAGCAAAGCAAATCAGTCTAGCTGAGGAGCTGATGTGTAGTCTTTGAAGCAAGGGAACAAGTCAGTGTTACCCCACTCTGCCCCCACAGCTCCCAAAAAATGTGGGTAAGCTGAGTGGGAGGGAAAGCCAGTGGGGAACCTCAAGATAAGAAGCTATGACTTCCCAGGGCATAAAAGACTACACATCAGAGCTGAAGCACCTACCCCAAGACATTAGATACTACCTTTAACTGTGCAATGCAATTACTCTTTCTGTACATCCCTGTCTCTGCACATTGTAGAGGTGCTTTCAGGGCTCCTACCTAAGCCAGCTCACAGCACTCACACACTTCCCGCCATTCTCACAGTCACTCATCCTTGAGCTGCTCCCTTCTTCATAAATGAAGAAAACCCAGGTTTGGCCATGGGTTGAGGCCTTTGTTCTGGTTTAACCATCAACCTAGCTGGACTTTGGACCATCTTGGCTCCCCACAACTGTAAGTATATCTTGGTGTCTTTATTCTCACCATGGGTTGCACTGGAAGTGATAAGACCAGAATTAACAATTCCTGTAACTTTTCCTTGAGATTATAAATATAAACATCCCAAAACAGGAGGAGAACCAGGAAGGGATCTCTATAACAAAAATTTAACTATTTCACTTCCATCTTTATCCATATGTATCAAGAGAAGCAAGGGTGTCTCTGGCTAAATCTTCAAACATCTCTGAAAGGAAGAAAAAAGAGCACAAACCTCTCAACTTTTATGTTTAAGGACAACAGATAAAAGATCTTATTAATAGTTTTTCAAATTTTTGTTATAATGTGTGATAATTTCTCACTAAAAAACACAATAATCACAGTGGATCTGACCACTTGCAAATAATTTCATGAGTCATTAGAAAAGAGTTGACTTTTTTTTTGTACCAGGGATTGAACTCACAACCTCACACTTATCAGGCAGGCACTTAACGATGCTAAGTTAACCCTAAGTTAACCTCATTAAGTTAAACACCACCATCACCACCACCACCACTACCTCCGTGTAGAAAACTGACTTTAAAATAGTTAAGGATAAGATTATTTCCTATATTAGTACAAATTCATTACATTCAGTTTTTGATAGTTCTAATTACCATATCTGGGCCAGAAACAGACTTGGGAGTTTTATGTACACTATATCATTTAAACTTTATAAACCACAGAGACAGGAAAGTATAGTACAAACCACATGGACTTTAGAGTGAGTTAAGTCCTTGAGATTCAAGTCTTGGCCTTTAATCACTGTAACTGCGACAGGTTACTTTCTTCCTCAAGTATTCTCATCTCTAAAGCGGGTACTACGGATATTTTAGAATTGTTATGAGGTTTACAGTATCTAGCACAAAGAAGGCATTTATAATGGCAATCACTACTATTACACATAAAACTGATATGATTATGAGATCTTGCTTTGTTTTAAACAAATACAACCAAAGTAATATCAAAGCAGGTCTCTTGGGAGACCATACATTTGTGACAATGCTGCTATCATAGTTCAATCTCTTTGAACTTCCTTGGGAACCATCTCCAGCATCCATGGCATATTCCTTTTGAATTGCCTTAATAGTGATAATCTGACTGCAAAGATTAGTGTGATAACTGAAAGGAGTCAAAGATTACTTGGTGTCAATTCTGGGGACTATGATTTGACATCAATCTGTACTATTTTTTATCAGATCTACTTTATTAGATGGCTTGCTAACAGCCTTTAAAGGTAGAATTTCTTATGGCTATATTGTTTAATGGTTTGTTTTAAACAGCTCTTATCAGTGTTGGCACATGGCAGACATTCACTAGCAAGATGTAACCATCACAAATGAGGTAGAGATGTATGCACTAATATAGAATGATATCCATTACATTTCTTAAATTAAAAATTAAGTGTACAGCAGAATATACAGATAGACTAAGTATACAGTATGCACAAATGAACTAGTAACAAAAAAAAATTCATTTTTTGTAATAAGAGTAAAAATGTAAATTCTTTGTATTTTCATAAATAATACCTTTCATAAATAACTAAGCTTGGTTAAGTGACAATCATAATTCTACACAATTATGTAATTCTACACAAAAAGGACATTCTCAGCTTGCAATGGGATTACATACTTAATGGGAATTGATTAATATGCCTAACTGAGCAAACATCACAGCTTAGCCTAGCCAAAGCACACTGTGTTAGAATGCATACATTAGTGTTCAGCTGAGCAAAATCACCTACCAGAAAGCCTACTTTATTATAATGTGCTGAATATCTCACGTAATTTATTGAACACTAAAAGTGAAGAACACTTTCATACCATCATAAAGATGCAAAATCTTAAGTTGAAACATTTTATATTGGGAACTGGTTGTATTACATACCAAATTCATTATAAAATATCTCATTTAATCTTTATGGTAATTCTGAATATTTATTACCCGTATTTACATTCTGAGAGTCTCAAAAAACTTGGCACAAGGTCACAAACATCTTGGATTTGAAACTCTGTTCTATATAGGTCCAGGAAAGTTTCTTGATTTTATCATAACATAAGTCACACTCACAACTTATACTCAGTATCTTGAGTCCAGCTCCTCAGCCTCAAGGAAGTTTGACACAGATCTGAATCTTCAAAATCCAATGCTTTTCTAAATCCTGAAATGAATGGCTTCAAGCAGACTGGTCAAATGGAAAAAATTCTGGGCTAAAAGTGAGAAGGGCCAAGTCTCAATAATACTATGCTTTATTATTAAGAACTCATATTATAACTTCTATAATAACTAAAGTGATTTACAGATTTAAAAAAAAAATTCAACCTAAAATACCAATGGCACTTCATGAATTCAGATGCCTACAGCTCATATTAAAGTCTAACTGCAAACAGGCCCTAAAAACCAAAGTTTTTGTGGGGAGAGGTTTCAGCAGAGATTTCAAAAAAGTACAAGAAAACCTAAGCATAAAGGATATGATACAACACACAAAGCCAAAACTGGCTTAGACTCCGGAAAGGGGTGCATATAATCCCAAATTAAAGCCACTATGGCAAAGAAACAGGAGATGGTACAGATGGTGAGGCGACCGTCAATTAGACCAAAATTCTCCACGTATTTGTACTTTTCCAGAAGTACCTAGAGAGAACAACAAGGAATCAAGCTAAGGAGAATGCTTCCTTCTTATACCTCCTTATATCCTTGATTTCTATGATAGAAAGTTACGTTAAGAATTATGTAACTGGACAAATTTTCTCTCCAGTTGGCATTTTAAGACTCCAGCAAACACTCAAGCTGTTAATAAAGGAGTTCAGAGAAATATTTAATCAACTCCTTACATGAAATTTTTAAAAAATCCTCTATTTTCCCCATAGGATATAGCTAAAATTTTCCTTTTCCTTTTCAAATGGAGAGTAACAGAAGAGAAAGATCCCCAGGAAGATAATCTGTCATGGACTCCTCCTCAAGAAAGTACCTTTTTTTTTTTGTACCAGGGGCCTAACTCATGATCTTGTGCTTGCCAAGCAGACACTTATGCCACTGTGCTGAACCCCCCGCCCCTAAGAAAGTACCTTTTTGGCAGAATCATCCAAAGAGTTTTTCACAGCAGATCCATCCCATTTGTCAATTTTTACAGGCTTATCATCAATCTTCCACTGTAAAACAAACAGAAAACTTGTACATCATGAAATGTGGCATCTTATAAAGTAAAGTGAACTATTTTTTGAGAGCATCCTCAACTACACATAGCGTTTACTCCTTTTTGTTTTTTGAGACAGGGTTTCACTACATAGTTCAGGCTAACCTTGACTTCACTATGTAGCACAAGCTGGCCTCGAATTTGTGGCAATACTCCTGCCTCAGCCTCTTGAGTGCTAGGATTACAGGCATGTGCCATCATGCCCAGCAGCATTTATTTTTATCTTTTGATGCTGAAGAGCTAAAAGACAAAATAAAAATGAGGTTGAATGATTGACTCAATAGATCAGATGGTATTCACATGAAGGTGCCAGTCTCCACACAGAAAAGTCAAAACTTCCAAGCCCAGAACAAGAATACATAAATGGACTAGAGATGGAAACTATGAACTCACATATCCCATTCCCATTTACAAACCAAGTGGGAACGCAAGAAACAATCCCATGTTAATCCTTTTGTTGTGGAACACAAAACTCAGATAATACAGATACAGGAAGTTACAGACACTAATGAAACAAGGAAGGGCTCCTCTACTACTTCACAACTTTCACATTTTATCGACATGTCTTAGAAAAACAGCAAATTCACTGAAATCTATTGAAAAGAACACTGAGTCTTCAATTAGTACTAAGTCTTTGACCCAGTCTTTATTAAATAGTTTTCCTGTGGCTGAGACACACTACCCAATACCCACATTTTTAAAAAAGTTTTAATTTGGATCACAGTTTGAAAAGATTCAGCAAATGGTCCATTGGCTTCAAGGGAGGAACATCATAGCAGAAGGGTGTGGCCAAGCAAAGATACTCAGTTCATGGTGGTCAGGAAGTAAAGCACAGGAATAATACCAGAGAGAAAAGGGACCAATGATTACCCAATCAGTATCAGGCCTCCATGACGTGCCCAGACTCACCAGAAGTGTGCTTTACTAATATCCTCATTGGCTCCAAGTCAATCAAACTGATTTAGTCAAGCTTAACCACCAGAGTCACACCAGTTAAGTGACTATGGAAACCTCTGCTTCAATTTCCTTCATCTATAGAAGTTTAGAAAGTTTCCCAAACATTGCATTACAAAGGCAAGTGATTTTCTCACATGTTGTTGGGAAGATTTCTGAAATGTTACAAAAATCAGTGCTGAGGACATAGCTGAGTGGTAAAGCATCTACCTTCCATGTGGGAGGCACTGAATTCAATTTCCCTTTCTAACATCCCCCCCCAAAAAGGGGGAAAAAGTATTTACAAAAATTAATTATTTAACATACTGGATTCAACTACATGCAGTTTTCTATAACTGCAAATATATGAAATAACATCTAAGTCTGCTCACAACAATATTGCTTTTTAGTTTAAAAAAAAGTAGAACTAACAAGTGTTCATGAATAGGGGACGAGACACAAACTATAGTATGTCCAGATATCCTGTAAGAGTGGGACACAGGTGACAATAAGATTTCTTTACATGTGTCTTTAGAAAACTTCTTTAACATGTGATATATTCACATGATACATTTCTCAAATTCAAGTAATTAAGTCAATGTAACTTAAATGGAATAGGTGCTCTAAATAATCTGATAAATCTATCTTTTATAGATCACAATAGCCAACTCAATCTTTTTTTAAATTTTATTTTAAAGAGAACAGAACAAAGCAAATCAGAACAAAACAATGCAAGCAACACAGCACTTCACGACAAGACAACCGGATATCAATAGTAGCTACCGTATCGTCTCTTTTCTTTGAAATAGTTGAGCATACCTTCTCACACAATAGTATCAAACATAACAAAATAGTATAAAACCACTCAAGAGAATGGAAGTATTACAGGACATTCAAAACCAAATAACCAATAATGAATAATGGTTACTGTAATATCTCATTTTCCTTAAAAAATTTGTTTATACTATCACACATTAAAATCCAGGGCTGGGGATTTAGCTCAGTGGCATAAGCACTTGCCTGGCAAACACTAGGTCATGACTTTGATCCCCAGCACCAAAAAAAAAAAAAAAAAAAAAAAAAAAATCCAGTAAGACACAACATGGTAGAACCAATGGAAAGAGAAGAACAAAAGCAGAGTAGAATTTAAAAGCAAGATGATATTAAATCAGCAATGGTGGCTATGTCCTATTTTCTTCAAAGTAGCTGTTTATACCATCACGCATAATAAAAATCAAACGAACAGAATAAAATCATTCCAACTAATGAATGAAATTATTATAGGACTTCAAAGCAATATAATGGGGAACCATGATTACCATAAAATCTTATGTACTCTTACCATACATCTTTTAAACATGTGTACAAACACTCCATTTCTTAAAAATTATGAACCAAGGCTAGGGATATAACTCAGTGGTAGCCTACTATTTCTGAAGCCCTGGGTTTAATTTGCAGCACTGTTGGGAGTTAAAAACCCAACTAACCAACAGATAGCTCAAAATTAATTTAACTTTAGAAAAGATTTTACTGAAAGAAAACATTTATACCTCATCAATTTTTTTTTGGAAGGAGCACTATAATTGTATATACTAGTATACAAAAAAGAAAAACTGAAATTTGCTGAAAATAAAACCACAAACTAATAGCCATATTTCAACTAATTACAAGCTAATTGTATTTTTTTTTTGAGAAAATTACTCATGGTAGCATTTGCAGTGTTCAATCTTATAATCTGCCAGCCTACAAATCAAACATTATACCTAGTTTTAAAAATACAAATTAAAAAAAAAAATTGAGTTATTTGTGATGAGTGGGAAAAAGTCATTTAAATTTTTTGGGTCATTCCAAAACAGAAAAATCGTATTCTCATAGACATCCAACCACATATCATTACCTGCAATGCACCACAGAAACTTGCTTTTACAATTCACAGCATAATTTCTTACCAACTTTTAGGGATAAAATGTAGAAACATAGCATAGGCTAACATAGCCTTAGCTCTAACTCCATTGCCTGGTACGTAGAAGCAATCTTCAGTGTATGGAGTAGAAGATTTTCAGTGACTTATGTAAATCATAAGATTGTGATTTGGTATCTAAAGAGATAGAAACATCCATTTTGTGTGTGTGAAATACTTCAGTCCGTTTCAAAGCAAACAGTATCTCTGATAAAAGGAAAAAACATCTGAAGGGCACCAGGGGCTACAACAGATGCTTATTCTTTGACAGCTATTTCCCATCATTCTCAAAAACTAATCAACTGAAATGTATGCTATTTTTCCTGCTCTCTTTGCTGCTGTTCAGGATATTTCAGAAACGGTTTTCCCCCTCAGTCTTGCCTTGCTTAACACTAAGCACAAATAGCAATAAAAAAAGAAGACAAAGAAGAAAATAAAGACAAAGCAAAGGTTAGTATCTTTTGCGTGGAACTTCAAGGGATGTGTTACCTCAAAAGGCAGTATGCAGCAATAAGTTATGTAAGAATGAGACTGTACCTTTAGAAATCTTTTTTTTTTTTTTTTGTCTTTTTCCTGGTACCGGGGATCAAACTCACGGCTGCCTGCTTGCAAGGCAGGCGGTTATGCCGCTGAGCTAAATCCCCAGCCCCTAGAGACTGTACCTTTAGAAAAGCCTATGTGCAAGGATGGTCCTTGGCTAATATCTGGCTAACAGTTCCCTGCACTAATATAAAATGTTCTGAAAGCAATGAGAGTGACTTAATGTGCCTAAACTGTTTGTACAAACTGTGTGATTTATGCTGAACACCTTGTCTTTTGGGAGTCTGGCACAGCTAGGCAAAAGGTGCCTGATTAGCCAGCCTCGAAGTAAACCAGACAGAGTCCCTAGTGAGCTTTCCTGGCAGACACTTCACATGTTCTGCCGTAACTCTCTACTGAGGAATTAAGCATTCCTAAGGGACTCAAATGGCAGAGGATTCAGAATCTTGCACTTGGTTTCTTCTGGATTTTATGCATTACAGTTTTATGCATTACGATTTTGCTCTGTATCACTCTGATAATAATAAATTTATATGCTCAGTTCTATGAGTCAACAGTCTGAGTATTTTGGGGAACTCAATATTGGTAATACTGGGCCTGAGACATAGTTCAGCAGCACAGCACCTGCCTGGCAAGTGCAAGGTCCTGAGCTCAATTCTTAGTATTAAAAGAAAAAGATTGGTAATATTGTATTGCCAACCACAAGATGTATCAGATGCTATAATTTAATACATAATTCCTCTTCTCATTCTTTCATCTGTATTATAGATACATGCATTTTGGAAAAATCAACAATCATATAATGCTATGGTTCAGACCAAAAATGACCCCCAAAGTTTCATGCGCTCAGAGGCGGGGCTTCCAGTCACCCCTAATGTTTTGTGGCAAAGCATCATATCATTGTTGCTGTAATTGTGTGTTCATAATTTAATCAATATTATATTGTGCAAATAAATGATATCATAAATGCAGCCACTGAAAGTATTTGTATGCTGGTAAGTTTTTTTTACAATATTTCTTGGCCATTTTTACAAAAAATACTTTTAAACTGAAGATTCAGTACATTGCTAAAAGCTATAATCTCTCTTTGAGATATGGGATCTAAATTAGGTGACAGTACACATTCTTAAGATAAACATTATCTTATTTACAAATGAGCTTTTTTCTTATTTTTTTAACTGTTTTTTTTCCTTATTAAATGTGTACATGTGAGGGGTAGGGGCACATACATATTACAAGTCAAGTAAGTAATGTCACCTTTCTGGGTCTACCATCAATTTTCATTATCTACTTATTTTGGTTTAGAAAATTCTGAAGTAAAAAAGAAGTAAAATCTAAGTATACAGCTTAAATATCTCAAACTCAGCATACACAGGGAAGTATTTTTTCTCTTTCCTCCTCTTGAAAAATAACGTAATTCTCACAGGTAAACATTACTGTCTCTTCCCTTCATGCTCCTTGTAACTACTCTGTCACTAAGTTCTGCCAGTTCAACCACATTTCCTTTTTACTCTTCTGCTGAA